AGATTATTACTATTTATCGAGAATGAATATTTTCAGAAAGCTTCTGGAAAGGTGAATTTCTTACTCCAAAACCCTACAATCTTGTCGATTAAACTTAATGTTACACAATAGCCTAAATTTCGATCGAATTTCATAATCAACTTACCCAGGCGGACAAATTCAGTCAGCCAGTCAGTAACAACGTAGAACTTCGTACATATGTACATCAGTTCGAGTTGCCACACCACATTAGCACAGAGATGCAGTTGTCGATTCAAATCCCGTAGTGGTAGAGGTAGCAAGAGTATAAGCAGTAATCGGGAAGATTAGGGTTTGGAGATGTTATTTAAAGAGTATAATCCAGTGAAATAAATTTGGAAAGAGGAAAAAAGGGACATGAAGGATTCAGAAGATTAGAATTTGGGAGAACACAGAGAGTGGATGCACCTGCGCCATTGCAAACGATTTTGAGCCATGTCATTCAGGGTCTCTAACCATCGGTTGCTATCATCTCGCGGTCCCCAACCAGGTAGTCTACACCTACCAACATGACTCAGTCCACTTGTCAGTGACTTCATGGACTTGTGCCATGTTTTGGTTTGGCCGCCCCTAGCTTTCTTCCAACCTACTCCTATACCACTGAACATAGCACGTCGAGGCAGTCGGTCGTTGGGCATACGTAACACGTGTCCCAGCCATCTCAACTGATGAAGTTTCACTACTTCATCAATTGATTTGCCATCCTTACCTAGTACCCGTTTCCTAACAACTGCATTACTTACTCGATGGTCCCATGATATACGAGCAATATTTCGAAGACACCTATGATCAAATACTAGTAACCTACGAATATCCTCTACTCTTACCGGCCATGTTTCACTGCCATAAAGTAGGACGGAACGAACTGCTGCGCAGTAAACCCGTCCTTTGGTTGATAGACGGATATCTCGCCTACGCCATAAATGACGCAAGTTGGCAAAAGCTAGTCGAGCCTTCTGTATCCGTGCTGAGATTTCGTCACACACTAAACCACAAGGGCTGATGAGACTTCCAAGATAAGTGAAGCGGTCGACACACTCAACTACTTCACTCCCTATCACTAGTTCGGGTGTCGATGTAACCCAATCCTGAAGCAACATTTTGCATTTCGAGGGAGAGAATCGCATCCCGAACATGCTTGCATTGTTGCTTAGAGTGGTCAGAAGACTCTGCATTTTGTCAGCGTCTTCACCAAATAAAACTATGTCATCAGCATATTCTAAGTCAACAAGTGAACCTCCCGGTAGAAGTTCAACCCCTGGAAATTTAGATGAGGAGAGTGTTATCTCTAAAAGTACGTCGACCACAAAGTTGAACAAGAATGGGGAGAGTGGACAGCCCTGACGAACACCACTTGAGGTAATCAATTCTGATGACAGTTCGCCATAAGCTCTCACTCTACCAGTTGTGTTCGAGTAGAGAGCCTTTATAAGGTTAATGTACTTCTTTGGTACTCCTTTCAGTGACAAACACTGCCATAGAACCTCACGATCAACAGAGTCGAATGCCGCCTTAAGGTCGAGAAATACTACCATTGTGGGGCGTCTGAATGTGTGTCTGTGTTCTAGAACCTGACGTAGTGTGAATATCTGATCTATACAACCACGTCCAGGTCGAAAACCGGCCTGGTTTTCTCTAATCTGCTCTTCACGAGCTTTGATTAGGCGTCGAAGTATTATTGAAGCTAATATTTTAGACACTATATTAGTCAAACTGATTCCTCTGTGATTGTCACAAGAGGACTTTTGTCCTTTCTTATAGACTGGCACAATCAGTGATTGAGACCAGTCAGATGGGATTACGTCCAGTTCCCAAATTCTACCTAAGACCTCAGTTAATCTCATTGCTAATACTGGACCACCATCCTTAAAAATCTCAGGAGTAAACCTGTCAGGGCCTGCTGCTCTCCCTCGTTTCAGATTTCCTATGGCTTTTTCAACTTCGTAAAGGGACGGAGGACCTACATTAACTTGCCATTCAGGTTGACTAGAGATCGTGGGAAACCGAAGTGTGGCTGAAGGCCAGTTGAACTGATCCCTAAAGTGTTCTGCCCATCGATCCAATCTCCTGGATTGAGAATGAATAATATGTCCATCTTTCTCTGAGATTGTTTCGCTAACGGTCGGGTTCCTAATTCCGGTTTCCTTAACGAGTCTGAACAATTGTCTGCTATTACCTATTGCCGCTGCCTTTTCCATCTCTCTTGCTTTCGCTACCCACCACTGTTCGCGATCATTGCGTAGACTTCTTGTCAGCTTGCGCTTAAGCTGACTCCGCTCTTCATTATGTTCAGAGCCAGGTGGAATGAGTTTCCGAGCATCTATCAGTGCGATAGATGCTGCTGAGATCCAGTGTTGCTCCCTAACCTTCTGGTTTACCTTACTAGCAGATATCACTGCTGTTTCCACAGCTTTTCGGATATCATTCCATGCTGCATCGGGGTGGGCATCACATACATGGCTGCCTAACTGTTTTCCTAGTTGTTCCTGAAATATACTCTTAGCTTGACTATCATTAAGTAGGCCCTAAGAGGTTTCCTTGCAGCGTCTTTCCTACGTCCAGTAAGACGCAAGCAAATACGCGCTCGCACTAGAGCATGATCTGAATCTAGGCATGTGCTCCAGAATGAGCGACAGTCTTCTATCGAGCCCCTCCATCGGTGGCTGATAGCGATGTGATCTATTTGGGTCCAACGTTGGGACGAATTCGGGGGTCGCCATGTTAAAAGATGTTTTTCCTTATGCTTAAAGTTAGTATTTGCAAGGAACAGGCGGTTATCTGAGCATAGCTGCAACAGACGGTCGCCATTATCTGTTCTTTGAGCCACGATGCCATAAGATCCACCTAGGTGTCTTTCCCTATCGCTTAGTTTACCTACTTGAGCATTAAAGTCACCGGCCACTATTACTACATCCGAGCGCCTAGCTTTTCGGAGAAGGTCCGAAAGCTTTCTGTAAAACTCATCTTTTACATCATCTGAGCTGCAGTCAGTGGGAGAATAGGCAGAGACGACGAAGAGGCAACGACGAGTGTCCCTATCTTTCCGGATTCTTACTGTTCCGTTCAGTCGGACAGCGCACAAACGACTGTCTACTGGGATCCACTCTAAGAGAGCTAGTTCTGCCCTAGGACTCAATGCTATACCTACGCCGGCGAGGCCACGGGAAGCAGAATCAGGGCTTCCAGATACACGAAGCGTAAATCGAGTCGGTTCTTTATTTTGGCATGGTGAGGTCAAATGAATGACGCTACTCGGATCCTGTATGCGCGTTTCGGAGACGCAGCACACATCGATGGCGCGAGATTCTAAAGTTTTAGCTAAGGAAGCCTGCTGTCCTATTTGGCAAAGTGTTCGTACGTTAAAAGCTCCTACGTGTAGTTTAGAGCGTGGTTTCAGGAGACCAGGAATGGCGTTCCACGTACTCGAATCGTTTGCCCTAGCGGTGCGAGGTGATAAAGAGACGTGAGGAGGGTTAGTCATGGAGATAAGAGAGGTATTAGGAGGTGTAGGAAGGATTTGAATGTGACCACCTTGGTCTCTTGTGCTGTTACGGGTATGAGGGCTGATGTCACTTCCCGGCTGCCCACACCGTGGAAGGGTATTTCTTGAGGAACCTGAAAAGGAAATTGGATTAGTGTTGGTCTTGACGACCTGGGAGCGTGACCGCAGAGCCCAAGGGACAACTGCTTGAGGCCGGTCGCGCACGGCCTTTTTGTGGAAGGTTTTTGACGTGTTAGCTCCGTTCTTCAAAGGGCCTTACCGCCGGAGACGGAAATCCGTGAGGTAAGGTGAGGTGTGACATTTTTAGGGTCGACCTTTTCTAACCCCACCCCTCCTTGTGGGAAGGCAGCATCGCTGTCATGCTGGTTGTCCGAAGGAAACACCTTACTGCTGTCACACCCCTCTACAGTCAGCAGTACGACTTCGCCCTCAGACCTTGAGTTGCTGCTTTTAGTCTTACCGTTCACCAATCGACCTGCCTGGCATGGTAGAACCTACAGGAACATATGTTCCAGCCAATATAGCTCGGTTGGGTCATCACGATAGGCAAGCCCGACCACCGCGTCAAAGTAGCAGCTTCGATCGGGGCGGACAAATTGGTTTTTATCAGCCGTCAACTACTAACCTAGTTTACAGAATACATTTATTTTCCGGCTTTCTAATGGAGTTGGATACAAATAAGAGTTAATGGCAGGAAATAACTTTGAACTACACAACTACGGCTTTAGTGGCTGCACACTGAAGTTTGAACAATACAGACTAATTATAATTATAAGAAATTAAGTGAGACTATAATTTATGGACGACCTTTGAGCGACGCCAAAGTGACCTTGAGAGTGAACAACTACTAATTAGGACTAAAGTAGGGCTATAAAGCAGTTAGAATTCTTATTTACAGTTGATGGTTAGGGTTAAAAATTAGATTTAGAGTCTTCATTACGAACTGACATCAGCTATAGTGCAAAACTCTATTTAGCCAAATGTATGGATGAATTCCGCGCCCAAATTCGTGACTCGTTATCTAATATCTAATTGGTTCGTCCATAAATTATAGTCCCGCCAGAAATTCTGTCAGCAAATCTATACCTGGACTGAAGGCCGTTCCATTGTTTTCCAAGTATTCCTACTGCGTTTTTATTGTTTAGCTTATGGGTTATTCGTAGTCATTTATTCATAATTAGATACAAAAAAATGAATTCGTACTGCTGAACTAAACCACATAAATGCAGTATAATGGACGTATTCTCTCCAAATTTCAAACCCCGGACAATGAGTTATAAGGTTGTGATATAAATACGAACTTTAGGGTTTTTATTATTAAAAAACTATCGCAACCTCTCGTAGAACTAGCAACAAATAATATCTAGTGTAAATATACCAAGTAAAGTAGAGATTTCATTACACTCGAAAAACAAAATGCGGATGTTTTGTTTACACATAATAGGAGTTGTACTACATATTTCGAAAGCGTAAAACTAACTTCTGAATCTTCAAGCTCTTTTATGAGCTTTTTGTGCTTCCAGTGTAAGTCTATGGGAGATATGGAGTACGGATTGATGTATTTAAAATTCTCATCCCGAATGATGAATGGCAAAAATAGTTTACTACATGATATTGAATAAGCAATACGAATTTACCTCTGTACCATCGACATATGAGTGTGAAGCTTTCTTAAGCTAGCAATAATGTCAAACTACAAAACTTATTATTCACTCAATAAAACTACCTTTGTTATTCTTCCTGAAAGGGCGTACTTCAAACTAACAACATCACGAAGAGCCATACAGTGTTTACTCATCCTGCCATATTTTCCTGACTGAAGAAAAAATAATGTATAACTGACTTACCACAAACATGGATATTAATTTTTCTACCATCATCCGTAACTCAGCACTGACCCCATCAGATAGATCATCCCGTTTAAATGCAACACATGCCTTAGGAAACACGCCAAATCTCGAACAGACATTCATTTTAAATCCATAAAACCAATCTTGGTACATAATATAATTATTGTGTAAACTTTACCTTCACATTGTCGCAAAATAAATACATCATCGCCAACTGAAATGTCAAGTTTGTCGCAAGTATCACTCCTGAACGGATTTACAACTAAAAATAAGATGAAATTTCAAGTTTAATATCCTACCCACAGCCCATTTTATATTCTCTTCATATGGAATCCACCTCATCATAGATTACGTCACATAAAATCCTATCAGCTAAAGTATTCAGTAATAAGCGCCTATTTGTCTAGGTCAGCTACATGAAGGTCACAAGTGAAACTCGTGTCAGATTTCAGATTCAGATTCAGATTTGTGTAGTAAGGAGAGAAGGCCTACGGCCTATGTTATTCCTTTTCTAGTATGCTTCTGTGAGTGTCCAGTCTTCTCTTGAAAGAGTCAATTGAAGGTGCGGACACCACTGCTTCAGGCAGCAGGTTCCAAGTATTGATGACTCGGTGTGAAAACCTGTATGCCACGGGTATTTTGTTCGTTCTTGGCTTTTCTACTCGCCTGCTATGTCCTCTGAGGTGTCCCGATCTAGTGGGAAGAAAGAGAGAGAATAAGTTGGGTCCGAAATCATTTCTCAGTATTCTGTACATCAATATTAGATCTCCCCTTATTCTGTGATAGGACAGAATAAAGAGGTTCAGTTTTTCAAGCCGCTCTTTATATGATAAACCCCGGAGTTCCTGAATTGCACGGGTAGCTGCCCTCTGTACCTTTTCTATTATGTCTGAGTCACCTTTTAAACAGGGGCTTGCAGCCTGAACACAGTTCTCTAACTTAGTTCTCACTAAGGATGTGTATAATGTGGTGAACATGGTAGTATCAAGCTTAGTGAATGTCCTTTTAAAAACCCAGAGGGTTCGAAACCCCTTAACTGCGACCTCCCGGCAATGGGCCGTCGTCTTAAGATCATTGCTCACTGTCACCCCTAGGTCCTTATGAGACCGGACTACGGGTAATGACACATCCCCTATGTTGTACGTATTAACCTTTGAATCCCCCAAGTGCAACTTCAGTACTCTCTTGCAAGGATAGGAGTCCCAGTAATACATAATAATCCTTGCAATTTATAAAAATGTAAGGATCCAACCCCGACTTGAAAGTACCCCCAAAAGTTGCTAATATCACGTGTTCCGATACGGTGAGTAGGAAAGCCAAGAACAAACAAAATACCCGTGGCATACAGGTTTTCACACCGAGTCATCAATAATTGGAACCTGCTGCCTGAAGCAGTGGTGTCCGCACCTTCAATTGACTCTTTCAAGAGAAGACTGGACACTCACAGAAGCATACTAGAAAAGGAATAACATAGGCCGTAGGCCTTCTCTCCTTACTACACAAATCTGAATCTGAATTCTAATAATGCACTATTTCTTGAGAGATACAGAACTCCAGACATGAACAGTTTTATCTCGGTTTTTGAAATTTCTTATGATGACACTCAGATTATCAGTTCTAGATTGAAGTGAAAGATAAGTTTTATTAATACCCGGTTCATCGTTCAATATACTGTAAGTTAATGTTAAATAGCCCTGTGACCTGTGTTAAGATGACAGAAATTGATTGAATCGTCCCAGTCTGTCTTTATACGATATGATATCTTGACCTTTCACCTTTGCACCTCAGCTGTCATGTGTTAAGCTAGGTATCTTATATCCCAGCGAATATTCAACTAATTCACATAATTGTTCACACCTGTTTTGGTTCGACGTTCATTACATTGACCATTCAATGGGAAAAACAGAGTCTTCTACTTATTTTAACTCAGGTATATAACTATAATTATACTACAAGTATTCGGAGTTCGACAATGGCTTTACACGTAACACCTTGATAACTGAAGTAAACCAACCCAATCAAACCAAAAGTCATAAACGGAGGAGTTCGAAGATATATCTGAAAGGCTACTGATATGTCGGTTAGCATTTACTCCAAGCTGGCTAACAGTTGAATCCAATGGGTAGCACGACGTACCCGCTCGTGATGTGGTGCGCATTCGTGACAGAGTGCCTTCAGCTATGTGAGTCCAGCAGAACTAGTGAAATGAGTAACAAATGTAGAAGACTTACAGAGCCGGTAATTTTGGGGATCCGTTTACCGCTACATCGGAATTGTATTTGATTAACATGTCGGTTGTGTGCACTGAAATCATTGATATCTAGAATTCGAATAGTAGGTTTTCCAACACTATCCTACTCCACAAAATAATGTTCGATCTTCATAAACCCAAGTTACAAACAATGCGTTTTTATTTAAGACATTGAAGATGGCACGGGTATTTAGTGTTTGACAACGCTTTTATCAGTAACACCTTCTAATATAACTCGTACCCACCAAGAGAAATCAAAAGACAGAATCGAGGAGATCAGAAGTTGTATTTGACGATTGTCAATATATCGGAATTGTCTGATCTAGTCTGGCTAGCGATTGCAGTAGTCGTTTAGCACGGCGTTCCCACACGTGATCCGGTGTGGATGCATGACCGAGCGCCTTCAGCTAGGTGAGTTCATTAAAACACGTGGTCAACATCCAATGTCGAAAACTTACAGAGCTATTTATTTTTGGGATTTGTTTACCGCTACAACAACAGCTCTAAAGACCGACTTAATGTGTTCCATTTTTCTTTACTTAAAGCATTTCGTATGTCGAAATATACATGTATTACGTGAGTGAAATTTACCACAGGGCAAGCATTTAACAAACCTGTGCTCACCTCTGCAACATGCTTTACAACTCCTAAATAAATTGTTATCTGCATGACCATGAGTACGCATTGGTCTGAGATAAACACGTAATGAAGTGGAATTCTTGATGTCCTAAGAAATGATTTCATGAAATTTTACCCCTTCACAGCATTGGAAATAAGTACATTTAAATGATTTAGTAATAGTTCCTAGAGAGTTGCGTGGGAAAGTGAAATGGACTTGTCTGCGGATGTCAACGTTTTTAGCAAGATGTATACATCCATTCCGATGAATGTAATGAGATGAGCCGAAATTTTTTACCGTGCTTAAAATCTTTCGTGATCATACTCCATTTTTTAAAATTTTCCAGTTATGTATATCCAACTGTTCGATCACAGGCTCCATCACGACACCAATATGATGATTAGAAGTATTCGATTTATTGTACTAACAAGGAATTCCAGAGACTGTAGTATAAGCAAAACAGAAGCAGATGACTGCAAATGAGCGTAATGTAGTTTGAGTTCGTAATTAGCGGGTAATCAAGTACAAAAAAATCATTAATTCGTACAAATGCCATACTAAAGCTAAGCAGTGAAAAGAATTCCGATTTTACTAAAATAATTTCGTACTTATTAATATCAATCAAGTTTTAGAAAAAGTTCTAATGATGTCATTAGGATCTGTCATTAAAATTGCTATTGTTATCATTTTGCTATGATTTTTGATACATATACATCAAAATGATTTGACCCACAGTTGTAAGCAGTTGTACGTATTTGAATTATAGTACAAACTAGGAATCCAAGAAATAACGCCATCGGATCAAGAAGTACCAGATAAGCCCAAACAAGTGTACTGTATTCGGAATTCGAAATCAAGCATCCAACAAGTGAAAAGGAATCGTTAGTTCATACAAACATCACATCCGTCACAACTTAGATTGGAGTCTAAGTGTCTGTAGTCGATTGAAAGTCTTCTTCTTAAGTTCATCCTGTGTCTGTCCAAAAGTGTATTGGATAAAGCCTCTGCATTATCTACAATTTACTCATTAGTATTAGAATTAGTAAGCAAAATCCAAACAGATTCGCCTGGTTGTTGGAAGTGTATTTGATTTGTCTCACAGGTTAAGGTTGCACTAACAAACAGTCTGCAGTATTAACAGGTCTATCTTGTAATGATTGTCGATAAATGTAGTCAATATGTTAAATTTGTTTGGCACTCCTGTGCTGAGCCGTATAGTCATAAGCACTCAAACCATCACTCCATCGTTGAACCATAGCAGCTGAGGAAAGTGTTAAGGATTTTGCAAGGTGATAAATAAAGTTTAATGCTTCACGGCCAGTAACAATAGTGAGTCGCTTTCCGAATAAATATTAATGAATTCTTTTAACAGCCCAAAACACAGCTAATGCTTCTGGCTGAGTTTTTGAATAACCTTGTTTAGTAACGGTAAGTTTGCGTGAAACACATATAGCCAGTCTAACTTCCCGCTCCAAACCTGCGCCGATACCCACAGTTGATGCATCAGTAATAGATATAAAACATACACTAGGGGATTAAATTCGAAGAACAGCACCACCTTGAAGAAACTTTAGTAAACTTTGCAGGCATATCTCTTGTTCCTCACCCCACAGAAAGACCAATTGGCACGACAAACAAATTATGAACAAAACAGGAATATTAAAGAAGAGCACCTACTAGTGAATGTAGTTCTGTAACATGGCCAGTGTATGACATGGTGTCATGGTATGAAAGAAAGCTGTAAAGGGCTGGATTCTGTTGGTCCTTCACGACTCCCAGGCTGTGGTCCGAGAGATAGCGCAACACAGTGGCTAGAGACGTTATCAGATATGGCTCAGAATAGAAACCAGTGGCGATCCTGCTGTAACCTTCTTTTACTTTCTTCATAAAAAAACTGGTTGTATCTTCCTTAACTGAAGGGTTTCTTCTGATTGTACCTTTCCGTTCCCCCATTATTACCACGATTATTATTACACTACCTTACACCAATCTCTTCCTTATCGTTCTTTTTTTACCCTCTTTGCCTTTCTTTCCTTTTCTTTAAATTCTCATTGTTTTGTGTGGCGCATATATATTTGGCGCACTCTTGTACCAATATGTATGTGTTCAAATAAATAAATAATAAAATAATAGTAACAATTGCTCAATTTAGTAAAACTTGGTAACTATTATACATCTAATAATTGATACATAATTTGAATAAAATTGGTCTTGCAACGCGCTCTATTTAAAAGGACAGTGGTATTGTTTCTCGTCGAGTTAATTAACTGTTTTGATCGCAAACTACGCATCAGAACTACTGTTTACACTTTAATTGCGTCTACCCCAGTTAAAGTGATATTGTATTGAGTGTTTCGATTTTGCTTTTGTGTATTTATTGCATCGAAGCATAGTTGGCCGTCTTTTGTTCGATTTATTTAGTTAAGGTTTGAGAATCATTTTTTATCCTGTTTTTGTCACCGTTTTAGTTGATTT